TATTAACTATAAGAGCATATAACTTAACTCTTTCACGTACATATATATGTATGTATATGGAATACCGGTGGCCCAAGGTTATTTCTTAAATTTTATCGATGTAGAGCATAATTTGGAGTTCACAGCTATAGTAAATGGTTATTTCTATAGAAAACTAAGTACTATTTCAAAATTTCGTGGTATCACCATTTTGGCATAAAAAGGATATGTGATTTAAATACATAATGTGAGAAATGTAAAGACTTTATAAAAGAATTCACTCAATAATAACTCAACTTTTATTTTATTGCATAGACATTTTTATTTTTGTAAATTTTTGGCATTTTACTGAAAAATGAATTCATTCGTGAAAAAGAAAACTCCGTGAAAATGTGAATCGAAAATATACACAAATACAGAATTTTGATTAAAAGGTTAAATTTTGTGGAATTGTGTCACAGCCGGCAGCAACAAGGCGCCGTGGCTTAGTTGGTTAAAGCGCCTGTCTAGTAAACAGGAGATCGTGAGTTCGAATCTCGCCGGGGCCTTCGATCAAGGGTTGATTTTTTGCAAATAAAAATATGTCATTTAACTAACCTTGTTTACTTTGCACAGTGGGGTCTATAGTCAAATATATGCTAATAAAATGTAAAAATTATAAATTAAAGAACCCAAACACCGCTCTTTACTACGATTTAAAAAATTAAACCTGATTTAAATACATAGTACATATTTTACATTGATTTTAGACTTCCATATTTTGAATGATATTAAAAATTAAGAAAAATAAAATTATGTCAAGAATTTAGAAAATAAAAACAATTTTTAATTTGTTTAAACATTAATATTTTGATGTTGTTGGTAAAATTAAAAACTACATTTCCATTAAATTAATTAAAATTCAGTGATAAATAAAAATTATCACTTTAAGTTAAAAATATTTATTTAAGTGTATTTGATTTAAAAGCACTTTATTTGCACGAGATTTCGTGTTGGCGCCGTGGCTTAGTTGGTTAAAGCGCCTGTCTAGTAAACAGGAGATCGTGAGTTCGAATCTCGCCGGGGCCTACAGTGAATTACTTTTTTTAATTTTTTTTTTTACATACAAGTAAATTTATTTATTGATTGTGCATATAATTATTATTAATAAAAATATTAAATCTATAATAAATAAAAATATTAATTCTATAATAAACAAAATAGTAAAAATCTAAACAATATCACACCCACCGTTTATATTTATATTACACATAAAAGCAAAATATCCATATTTAATAATAAAACAGTTCATGTATATATGTGTATGTATCTACATACATACATATGAATGTACATATATTCTTGCTATAATAAAAAATTATGTTTTCGCATAATCTACAACAATGATTTTTTTATCAATAAACAATTGTTCAATTCACAATCGATGTTGTAGCGTTGTATGTCAGCAGCTGCTACAATAGTCATAACAATGTTGTTGGTATTTTCCATGCAAAAGCTATATACAACTCCTACAACAATTTTTCATATGTTTTTCGAATGTTGTAAGAGAGTTTAGTGTTGCCAATTGTTTTTTTTTTTTCAACATATAAACAAAATATTCAAAAGATTTTAGCATAAAAAAACGATAAAGTGGTAACACTGAAATCAAAAACAAACAGCTGTTTACCAAAACAAAAAAACTAAAATTGTATTAAAAACAGTTTATTTATTAGTTTAAAATGTGGAACAAAGAAAATAAAAGAGTTGAAAATTCAAAGAAATTAATTTGGTTTATTTCGCAGGTTTAATTTATATTTTTTGATTTTTTTTTATCTTTTGACATTGTTATGTATATTTGTTTTGATTGTTTTTTTTTCATTGAGAACATAAACTTGCTGCAAAGATCTGTTCACAATCACAGTTACTACACTTTAGTAGGTACAATATACAACTTGATTGTGAATTGAACAAATATGAAAAATATTAGCAGCACTGTCGTATCGAAAAGGATGTTGGTTGATAAACGAACGAAAAAGAGGGGAAGGTTAGAATTACGCCCACACTGCTTCTGTGACCAGCCATCTCGCAAATTTAACATATCGTGGTAACTAAAAAGTTATGGTTATTAAATAAATCGTGGTGAATAACAAATAAATTCACCACAAATTATGTTATGCCTAATTTTTCAAGTATAGTATTTGAATCCTAAAAGTAGGCTGTATTTTTAATTTTAATAAACTATATCAATTTTATTGCACCCTGTTAATTATTTTGGTTTGTGTCTATACTAACAAAAGGGAAAGAGAGTTGCCAGCCCAATACCAAAAATAAAAATAGCATTTAGAATTGCCAGAATCTTTGTATGGGAATTCAAATTTGATTGCACAAGTTCTTAAAGTGAACTTTTCATTATCACCTCTGAATTTAAGTTATCCAAGTTATTGTTCCAAATACATACATGTTGGAAGTGTGCACAGAAAATTATTTTTTTATATGTGCTGCACGAAGTTTAAGTAGCCCTAGGGTAGTGCAGCTAAAAGCTGCCCATAAGAAATACACGTGTTTGTGTGTTGTGCACAGCCAAATCTGTTACGCCGCAGAAGTTTTTAAACTCTCTGACCTGAAAGATAACCCTACAAGGGTTCATCCTTCAGGTTTCTGTTTCAGAATTAAATATTTGGAATATTCAATTATCTAATTTTGCTAGTTTGCCTGAAACCTGTTCATAATATTTAAAAACGTCCCATGCACAAAAACTAGAATGAAAATTATTGTTAGGTTAGGTTGATAGGAGGATGTATACTACGTCAAATCCGATGAAATACACCTATAAAAAATCCCAAAATTTTACGAAAACCCCTAAGTAAAACATGAAATCCGCAATTTAGGGACAAATCCCCACATCTGGCGACACTGGTTTGAAGTCCCAAAAAAATCTGCCCTTTTTGGTACTGAAACCGGTCAATAGCATAAAAACATCAAAAGGGCTTTTTTGTCCTTAGACTCAGCTAACCAAATACTAACCCCAGGACAAGAATAATGTGAAATAGTATATTAAATTAAACCGAGCTTTCATTTTCGTGTGAACTTCAGTACAATTTTTTTGCACACGAACGGGGCCACCCTAATGTACTTGTAATCAAAGTACTCGTTATATATTTAAGAGATGCCGCTTAAAAATTATTAAAATAGGTCCATACAAAATACGAATTATTGAATCATAATTTTTTTATGTTTCATTCATTGTATGTCAAAATTAATTTTTCAGAATTAAATGGCCACCATAATATCTAATAGCTAAATGTCCATGGACGTTGTGACACACCAAAATATCCATGGACGTTGTGACACTTCAAAATTGTCACAATTTCCATGAGCATAGTGAAAAAAATCCAGGGATTACCAATAATTAAATTATCAAGAAAAGGCTTAATAGAGCGAAGACGGTGTTTAAAATACACGGTCGGTCGTGGCTATGTGCTTCAATACAAGAACATCAAATACTGGGAGACTCAATGGAGCGTGCAATCTCCTGGAGCAGATTTTAGGTCGAGAGCTTGTCGACACCACGTTTTAGAAGTCTTGCTGAGAGGGTTTTTGACTGCAAGTTTGGAAGCACATAGGGACATATTGAAGAGGTTTCAAAAAGAATGGTCGGCGATTAATAAATCCAAGTTCGATGTAGACGAAAATGTTTTGGAACTACTGCCCAAAGAAGAAGTAGAGAATATCAAAGAAGAACTGCAAAGAAAACTAATGAAATGCCAGCCAAGAGACGACTACAAAGAGCTGTTACAGTTAGCATTGATATCTTGGTCATCCTGACGAAAAAGATGTGCGCTTCAGAACTCCAGGTCCTGTACACCATGCCCGGTGAATGGCAAAACCTATTTACTGTCTGAAAATACAACTCTTCCGTGACCAGTTTAAGCTGACTTCCCAAGAACAATAGGCCCTAGAAGCACTTTGTGCTTTCATCGTCCAAGCTCCCAGAGCTTGTTTAGCAGCAAAACAAGACCTAGACCTCATTGAAAATCTATTAAAATACGAAAGCATTGACAAAAAATATCAGAAAAAGGAATTAACAAAATGATAAATCACGTGTAGTATCATAGTCCTAAACTTTTTGCCCTGAAATTGTTTGACCCAACAGTGCAAAGAACCGTAAAGAGCCAAATAGCTAAAAAAAATCTTAACAAATCAAGAAGAAGAAAATGCGAAATGCTCCAGAAATATGCGACCCAAACTAGAAAAATGTCTCCCAGCCCAAATTACAAGTGAGACTTAACTGCTGTTCAAAAGATTTAATATTACACTGAATTTCTGCATCAACTGCCAGGAGGGGCAAAGGATGATAAACACCTTGAAAGTTGTGAACGACATTGTAGAGCGAGGGGTCAAGCTAGCTCATAACAAATTACAACAAATATAAACTAATTTTCTAATACATTCATATTTGAAAAGTGTCACAATATCCATGGTTAACCTTTTCAGGGAATTGACCATATGTTAGTTGAGACCACTGAAATCTCTTCAATAGGTGTGATATTAGCTTCACAATTCTTTCACAATTTGAACGTCTCCCAGCAGTCCGACAAAGTGTTAATGCATCAAAAAATTACAATTCTTTCCATTAGCAGACAAGTCGTCACTTTACTGCACCCAAGTAATCTACAAAGAGGACACGTAATAAAACTTAAACGAAAAGGTTCATATATTGACTCCTTTAGACTAGCTTTCTGACTGTCTCTTTATAATCTATGAAGTAACGATTGACTTCCTCGTAGTGCCGTCTGTGGCTAGGGTAACCTTAAGTGGTTAGTTAAATAGCTAGTTTGGGACTTTCTCTATCCTTTATTTTTAATAAAATTAAGTTCAGTGACAGTGGTTTTGCAGCAGTCATTTGAAATATGACGATTTCCATAATAATGGCATCGGTTGTACTTTCATTTGAAATGAATAAACAATATGTATGATTCTTAAAGGAAACCCCTATTATTTTTTTGTTTTTCCAAAAGTTATTAGTTGTTCCAAAACAAAACTGAATTTATTTCAGAATATGCGTATTTTATATCTAATATAATCTAATCTTTATAAACTAAATAAACAGTAACAACAATAAAATACGTGGGACGTTCATAAACAACACTTGTAAAATTGTCCATTTCTTCGTCCATCAAATGGCGCATGCGCATCGTTATACCTTGATTTTGTTTCTCAATAACAGATAAAATGCAAACAATGCGATGACTGTAATACAAAATTTAATTATGTAAATAATTGTTTTAATTCTTTGTTATTATTAGACTATTACCGCTTGTGATTAAATCTGCGAACACCATCTCTTATATCGGAAGCTAAATTCTCAGCCAATTGCAAAGAACGCCACGAATCATAGGAACGACTGAAACGATCCCAGGTCAAACGTTCTTCAATGGTTGCCTCTATAAGTTTCTGAACCTGTTCCATGCTGAAATTAGTGCGAAAGAAACTCCAATCGTTTTTGGGTTTTTCATTTTCAGCCTCAGCTTCGTTTTCCCCCTCCACTGTAGATAATTTTATCAGGGCCTTACGTTTTCCCAACATCGATTCCGAAAGTAAAGCATTCATGCGACTTGTAGTGCGCACGGAAGCAGTTATGCTAAAAGAAATAATTATTAAACAATTATTTATTTTCATAAATATTTAACTAAAAGTGGTAAAAATTATATTGTCAACATTCTTTTGTTTTTGTTTATAAACCAACCGAGATTTCATATTACTCCATGAAGCCATTTTCTTTATGAATAAATTTATTAATATTTTATGTGTTTTACTGTCTGAGAATTAACTGAATAACTGAATTTGCATACATTTGCAAGATTTCAAATAAGTCAATAGTTTCTCAAATAAAACCATAAACATTTACCTCTATTGTAGGTATATATTTTTTTATTGCATTCCACAAACTAAACTTTTTTCACCCCACTTTTTAACCACTTTTTATAGCTATAATGGAATAGAGGATATCGTAAGTTATTTCAAAGGTTTGTAATAAGATTTTCTTTTTATGTGGATTTTTTTAAATTTGCCGTATTACTTAATTTTTTCGTATTTAGGCAAATTATATATTCCTATAGTTTTTTTTGAATCGAGTTAAATTTTAATATGAAAAATTTCAGATCAACTGCACAAATTAGGGCACAATACCCAGTCTTTAAGTCCTATCGTACAGTATATTTTTTTTTTTATCGGCGAACTGACGTGCATTTTTGTTAAATTGTTCTGCTAAACCGATATTTACAAATTCAATACGTTCTGAGACTATTATTAAGAATTTGATCGATATAGATCGCTTCGATCATGTGATTTATCATCATTGGATTATTTTTAATCCATTATTCCAGGAGACTGAATATGGATGGGCTAATTATGGACTAATTCTCAAAAGAGGAAATATTTTTGTTTAGAAGGGGACTATAAGGTACACTTCCATCCGGTGACAAATTGGGACCATGAGTAAGATTTAGAAAACCCAAAGGAAAGGAAAGGTCCGCGAAAAGGGACTAAAACAATTTTTCTGATAAAGTATAGCAACAATCTTTTGATCATCTAGAAATCTAGTACATAGTCATTTATATCGAAAACTCTGTAGTCTAGGACATAATTTGCTGTGTTCTATCCTCTAAATCTTTACATCAGAAACTACTCCCATCCAAACCAGTTAGTAGTTTGTTTTCATTTGTATCCAATTTTGGTCACTGTGACTTGGGCTCTATCAAATATGTGGTTTTCAAAAGATCGCAATGATCTTTCTGCATTCATCCGGAAGTCTATATAAAAGTTCAATACCATTATCAACCATATAACCTTCGACACCTGTGCCAGGTTGTATGCGTCAGTAAAAACTCCACTCTATTGGGGTGTTACACCGAGGCTGTGTCCCTATGATCCAAAATTTCCGTTTCAATGCTGTGTGGCCTTTCCGCAATGATCTTACAAGAGAATAAATATGTTTCTAGCTACCACAATATAGGCCACTATCTGGGATATGTTTGTAGGTAATATCAAAACCTTTTATTTTAGTCCGATATTCAGAAACTCAATTTCATGTTTCTAAGAATTTTCCAATCAGTGTTTGTGAAGGATGTTATATATGGAATAATCAACATACTATTAGTATTAGATTTAGGATTATAATCAAGGCCGCATGCGAAGTGCTGTTAATGGCGAAGATAGACACATCTTTGAGCATCTGTCTTCTGCATGATGTCTTCTTATGTTTAGACCATATTGCGGACTTACGGATATTTCAAGATCGTTAACAATCTTATATAGACGCATGTTATACCCAAATTAATCATGTCAAGATCGTTTAAGAATCTATTTATTTATTTATTTGTCCACCGAACAGGGTGACGGTGACCATACGCCAGTTGTAGTGTAGCAGACCAGAGTCTCTAGTGGGAATCTAACCCACAACCCCCAGACCCATAATAATTTTGATTGTAGGTATAATAGAGTAACTATTTGCACCGATTAGCCCATTTAAAGTATTTATTAAATTTAAAATAATTTAAAGTTTTATGAAGTCGTTCTTAATGAAATTTATATATTTTTTATTGCCATTCTTGTATTTGTTTTTCTTTTGGTTTTGTTGGTGTTGTTTTTATTGAAAAAATTGTTAGTACTCTTTGTAAATTTCTTTATTGACAGTTCATGTTGCTTTAACCGCCCACAATTGTAGGTGCCACATTTCTTTTTTACAAGATACACGAAGTTGCACATACCACATTGTGTGTATGTGTCTCACTTTATATATTTTCCAGTTGTTGTTGAATTTTTACGCCGTTTTTTTTTTCTTTTTGAAATATTTAGTTGGTTTGCGTGCATAAAATGATCTATTTTGTAAGAATGAATATTCTAAAATTCATAAATTCAGCAGATATTTAAATGAGTAAAATCTATTTGTTATCGTTTTTGAGTCACTTTAACGTCATTGATTTGATTATGTATTAATATTTAAAAAAATTAAAGATTTAATTTATTTATATTCCTGCTTTTAAAGTGTGTAATTTATGACTATAAATGCAAATAAAGGGAGAATTTTAACACATTACCCAAATTTGTGTTTCCCCATCACCTACAGGTGTAACTTTCAGTTAAGATTTAAATAAAAAGTAATTTTATTAAGTAATAACTATAATAGCTTTAAATGTTATTTAATTTTACTAACAATTTATGTTTCATGAAAGAGGATAATATCTAATCAAGTAATAACATTGTAATTTTTCAAATCCTTCTACTTGATACCCTACACCCTATTGTGTAGGTTGTAACAAATAATGATTTTGTTAGAAACCCGTAAGACGATATAGCCATGCCCGCCCGTCTGCTGAAAACACTAGCTAGAAGGCTGAAATTTTGAAGAAAAAATAGGCTATTTTTGTTTGGACGAAGTGCCACGCCCACTTTCTAAATAACTATTAGAAGTCGTATATTTCGGAAGCTGGTATAGATAGAGTCCTCAAATTTTGCATAAAAACTTTGACACATACATAGAGTGGTTGACAAAACAATGGAAACTTTTAGCAAAATAAATTTTTTTTATCATCAATTAAAATGGCTAGAGTTAAGATTTAAAAGCCGAAATAATTAACGATTTTAATACTTCTTTTAATATTTTACCTAATATTTGTTGATCTGCTATAAATATTTAATGAATAAATCAACACTTTTAGTTCAACATATGGGTTGAAGACCTCATAAAACGGCCCTATTCCAAAAAATTACTCCTCAGGAGTAATTATTATTATAAAGTTCGAAATTAGTACTCCTATGGTTAGTCACATAGAAAATGAGACTGGTCTTGGCTGTAGTCACCCTGCGAGAAAATCTCTTAGTTATAGAAAGAATCGTTCTACTCGTATACTCTTTGAAAAAGATAACATAAACTGGTCAAATCAATATGAAATAATGTCCTTTTTTTGGACGTGTCCAAATTCAATTTTATAGGACTTTTGTAAGGCGACCAAAGGGGAAAGATACTGGACCCGAAGAATATTAACCCATTAATGCCCACGGCGATCTACGTAAGGTAGAAATGTGAAATTTTGATATGACAGTTTACTTGTGTATATAAACCGATTTCAATTAAAAAAATTTTTCTATCTTGCCTTGTTTGGATTTTAGAAGACGTTACGTATACGTAACAGTGGGCATTACCCGCGAATTTTTGTCCCTTAAGTATTTTAAGTAAAAGTTACATATTTTTACAAAAAAATCGTAAAAAAAACTGGTTAATTATTAAGTTTTAAGCTTGGATTAGCTAATTTGGTGTATCATACAAAATTTTTTCATATAAAATAAAAAATTTTTTAAAAGTATAAAATTTTAATTTGTGGAATTTTGTAATTTCTGTAATGTCAATTAATGAATTTAAAGAAATGTGTATATTTTCTTGCAGCAACAGATATATTGATTAACGTTACACATTTTGCATACATTTACCAAAGGTCCTTGGCACTAGTATCCTTGCAATTTCTCTAATAACCCAAGAAAATGGTAATAATTTTCAACCGATGTTTAATTTTTGAAGGATAATTGCAATTATATTCCGATTTTCTAGTAAAAATATATATTTAAGATTCGCCAACTGTGCCTTGAACAATTTCTAATGCGGTCAAATGGCATATCCTTTACAGAAATTCTTAAAAAATTTAAAATATCCACGAAAGGACGATTTAATAGAAACATTTACATTAAAAATATATTGCTTGTCATCAAATATCAATATTTCAAGAAAATATGTTGTTTTTTATTACGTTAAAAACCAATTCCTCTGATAAAAAAATATTTTTGAGGCAGATTTCATGAAAAAGTAAGCAAGTTGTTCATTATTTATATCGTATGTAAAGTGGGACAAAAAGTACTGAGAACTGCCCACTGTTACATATTCGTAACATCTTTATTATCCTCTTTATAAGTCTCCGCAAGGATATGGTATATGTTTGTAAACAATTAGGTAATAAACATTAATTACTTCTTTATAAGTTTACGTCAGAAACTTTTTTTAAAAACTAACTACATAGAAGTTATTAACATTCTAAGAATTCATTCCTCGAAAAATATGACTTTTTTCTGGTTTACGAAATAGGCTTTTTACAAAATAACCCAAAAATACAATTCTATAGGCAAAAATTACTTAAATTCGATTTATAATCGTTAAGAACATGTTAACTTAACCTATCCACCAGAAAAAAGTAACTTTGCATTTTCCATTTCTGTGCATTTCGAGTCCAAATTTGAATTTGAATTAATTTGCGTTACATATATGTAACTGTGGGCATTAAAGGGTTAAGTTCAGCGGTGGCAAAATTATTGTATAGAACTGTTTTTTAGGGCAAGGTATTGATGGAATTCAATTATAAAAAGATACTATGTGTGGTATAAGATAGAGATCCATTTAAAAAACATAAAGTATTCCTCCGCTGTGAAAACTAGGGCCCTAGTCTGGAGATTTCAAAACGACAACGACCCTAAAGCCAACTTTTGAGTTGTAATCAAGTGGTTAGACTCGAAAGTGATACCTGTATTGAACTGGCCTGCCTATTCACCAGATCTCAACTCCATAGAAAATCTACGGGAAACAGTAGTTCGAAGATATTGACTCAAAAATCGTCCTTCCGGTGTAATTCGAAGGACGACTTTTTAGGATGCTGTTATAAGGGAATATTATCAAGCAGCAATACAACGTAAAGGATACCCAACTATTTTATGAGTTACTGACAAGTTCTGACCGTTTTTGTTACGATAATACCAAAGTTTCCATTGTTTTGTCAGTAACAGAAAACTAAATACTTTAATCTTGTTTTATTTTTTCAAAATTTAATGAATTATTTTCATAGATTTTATTAATTTAAGTAAATAAGGATATATACAAAAGAAATACTACAAAAAATATTTTTTTTAATAATTTTTTGGGTTTTGAGTCCATTTGTGAATATATAGAAAAAGTTTCCATTGTTTTGTCACCCACTGTATATGAACATTCGGAAAAAAATTAGCGAACTAGCAATATTGGGTGTGTCACATCCCATGCCTAATATTGCTCTCCATAACCAAATGATATAAATTTGGAGAAACTATAACAGTTACAGTGTAATCCATATGAATTTAATAATAAAATTCGTATATCTGGAAAACTATAAAATTTATAAAATTTCAATATGAATATTTAAGACAAATATGGGCGGATTAGAGATAGGAGTAGTGGTACTTCCCATTTAAATTAAATTCAAAAATTCGTACATATATCGGGGAAACTATTGTAGCTGAATACCCAAAATTTGCACAAACAATTTTGACATCCATGTAAACATTTGTCTAACAAATTGGCGGATACGGGGGCATGGTTCCTCCCAAATACAAAAATTTTTATGTTTGGGAAACCAACGAGAAACCATGTGAACAATTTTGGGAAAAATAACCGGACTAGCTATAGGGAATAGTACTTCCATAATAACTAGATACAAAAATTATTACATCTTGTATAATACATGTGCAAGAATCCTCAAATGTTATATATGTATGTAAATGTAATACCCAGGAATAATGGTTCTCCTCAATTCTATAACAGGTTCCTCTAGAATCATTACTACTAGAACCTTTTTTTGCCAAAATATCATATCATGGATAATATTGTGAATAGGTTGCCAATTTATCAATTCTGCAGCAGTTTCTACTAGAACCGGTTCCTCTAGAAGCAGTTCTACTAGAATCGAATGTTTTTTCTACAAAAAAAATAGTATCTAGAGTAATTTTGGATTATGTTCCTAATTTTTCAAATTTTACATCAGGTTGCACTAGAACCGATTATTCTAGAATCGTTTTTTTTTTTTTTTTGGAGAATAATAGAAATAATATCCATGATAATTTTGTGAACCGTTTGGACAGGCATATAATTTTTACTTTTTATCGAAATTGGAAAGTTTTATATTATACAGAAACTGAATTTTTTTAGATTATATGTATTGAATTTTATATTCTTCTTATAATGCACTAAAAGTATTTTACGCTCAAAATTACGGAATCATTGAGATCCATTTCGAAAAAAATTTCAGAGAAAAGTTTGTATGTATATAAAAAACTTATAGTCCCAGATATGTACATTAGAGTGCTCCAAAAAAACGAAGTTGCGAATTTTTGAACTTTGGTGTTAAATTATTCCCAAGTGCCTTAAAGGGTTAATCTACCTTTTTTCACTCTATTTTAAATATCGGACTATATACAATAAATTCCAGTCATTTTTGGTAAATATGGCCTACAAATAAAAATTATTTCGATATGGTACACTAAAAATTCCCAAATATTGCAAAATTTGACCTTTGAACTCCACAGTTTATGGGTTAAGAATGTCCGATTTTAATAAAACTTCGGATATATATTTTATATTATCTGGACTATAATACTCTGATAATACTTTATGTAAAATGTGCAACAGTAAAGAATTAATACGTATTCTCTAAAATATTAAAAAAATGCGATTATCCCGAAATCCGCCGATTTCAAATCGCAGGTACAGCTAAACTGTAAGAAATATTGATCTAATATTTTTACCGTTTAATAGCCCTATCTATTGATCATAAAGGTCTCTTAAAAATTTTGAAATTTGTTTAACAAAGTTTCAAAAACGAGATTTGAAACGGCCGTTGAAAAAATCAAACTTTTTTGACCATAGCTGAGAACGAGTTAGCGTTATCTTATAAGGGCAAAAACTAATATTCGAGTAATTATAGATATATTTTAAGTAACAAAATGTTTTTGTTAGAATATATTCCAAAAAAAGGAAATTTTTTTGTCATATTTCGAATTCTTGTGCTGTGGGACACGTTAATGGCCTGGGTAATTTGCAATAACTTTTAAAGTTTTCAAGCAATCTTTGTGTTTTATATCTTTCCGAAATGCTTACTCCGTGCACATTACGATTCCTTTACAATAAAGTTCAAAATTTATTACTAAATGGTCAAAACTGAAAAAATCGATATTTTCCCCTTGTAAATGCACTTCAAAACTTTAGAGTCGTTGCGGCACCTGTTAACGTTATCCAATCAGCATACATTTTTGTATGACATAGTTTTACAACCCATAGAACAATTCTAGAGGGTTGGACGACCTGTCAGACAATTTTTTTTTCCTTCATACAAGCTTGAATCACTCTAATGTACATATAGTAAAATATAAGATAATGGGTTTTCCGAATTTTAATGTTTAAGTATTTTCTGGTTATATGTAAGATAATTGGCGAAAGCAGTAAAAATTAACTATGGTTGGGATTTCGACGATATCTGGGGCCTTCAGAAAATTGATTTCAACAAACATACGGACAGACAGACAAACATATATCTTACTCACGAAGATGAATCATACAAAAATAACCTAACATACATAAATATGTTCGTATATGAATGAATGAATAATTGTATTACAAAATATCTGACAATCTGTATGTTTATTTTTTACAACCACACAAAAATAAATATATTCTATTGTTATGTTATTATTTTTTTATTATTGAAAAACTTTTCAATAATAATTTATTATTGATTTCAATTTATAAAATTAGTTTTCAAGTTTTATCATGAAAATTTACATGCACATTTGACACACATGTAAAATATCTATTCATATTCTAACACAATTCAAAAATATAAAATCAACGAAAAACTACCAACAAATCTAATACAAAAACTTATTACATACATACTACATACATATGTACATACATACTCACAATGTGTAATGGCATGTACTTGAAAATTAAAGTTAGTTCATGTTAAATATTTGCAAAACAAAAATAAACTTTAAACACAAAACTTTATATGTAACGTTGTAACGTTGTGCACTTCTCTTTATTTAGGAATTTCAAATTAACGTTTTACCACACACGTTTTGCTGAAGAATGTTTCCAATTAACGCTTTTACATGTGAATTTATACTTTGTTGTTTTCGTCTAATTTAGTATATTTAGTCTAATTTAACTAACTAACTTTTATTGGCCACAAAAACTTATTAACGAAAAAAAAAAATTACTAAAACACGCACTTACACTTTGAGTTAAAGGTGAAGGGAACTACTGTAATTTGTTAAATTTTTTACATGATTGATATGATTTTGACATTTCTATTAGAAATATTAATGCGCCAAAATGTTTTTTTATTAATTTTACTTATATTTATTATATTTTTACTTTTATTATTATTGTTTTTATAATTTATGACTGTAAAAACTTACACCTGTATGCGATTCATTTTAATTCAAACTCTTCTTTATTTGTTCAATTTCCAGACAAGGTTTTCTCGTTCGTTTCCTTTTCGTATGAACTTTATTTATGAACTTTGAAATATGTTTTAGACAAATGTTAAAACGGAAATGAAGTCAAATTTTTGGAAAATTATATTAGGTGGCCTTTTTTTCGTCTGGCAGCAAAAAGTAGAGAGAAAAGTGAAAATATTAGTAACAATAAATGTGTTCATATGTTTTTGATTAGTTGGCAAAACAAAAGAAAAAATAACTTGAAAATCATGTATGAATAATGAATTGCAAGTGGAAAATTTTTATTTATTCACCTATAAATATATACAATTTGCAAGTGTATTTTATTATAACTATAGTAATATATCTACATATAACAAATGTTTTTTGTACTAATACCACGCGATGATGAAAATTTTGTTATTTATAAAAAATAGGGTCAATTTTGAATAAAGTCCTCTTCCATACATCAAGGATACCCTTGGGGAGAGATAATTGCAGCAATATTTCTCAAAGCCTATAAGATAAACCACCTATCGGTATAAAATTTACCGCACTTATCATTGAGAAAATATAATCAAACATAAGCGACCATTTGACACACCGTATCGGTGATTTTTAGAAAAAATATTTTAAAATTAAGTTCAAAAAATGTCGAATCCCACAAAACCACCCAGCAAAAACATGGTAATGACTTGTACTTACCCAGAAATTTACTTTTCAATGACTACTACAAACAAACAAAAATAGTATATTTGTGTGAAAACTATTAAAGGACGCAGTGGATATATCTTCGTCGCCTATTTTTATACAAAACCACTTGCTTAACTTTCTATTAGCAAGCGATCGTAGTAGTACTTATTTAACTCCTTATTTGTACGCGAGCGTAAATAATTGACTCTAATGTCATTACCGTGTTAAAATAATAACACGTTATAACGTTTCAAATAGGATACGGTATCGAAAACCTGATGTGATGAAGATTGTCTGAGGCCAGATTCGGACTTAACGCAGCTCAATCCATTATATAGTAATGAGTTAAAAAGCTATTAAAACTACTTTTCACTACTTACTCATTGGTATTTTATTATAACAGGACTATGAAATTGGAAGCAAATACAAAAAAGTCTCGTAAATAAGTACATAATTACAAATAGGGAGTAAAAGTACCAGAAAGTTCCCTTTTACAGATTTTCATTCAATCAAGACGCTGAGTGTTTAATTTTATGTTTATATGTATAGGTTTAATATTAAATAAAGATTCAAAAAGTACCAATTGGGAACGTACCAATATTATAGAAATTTCAAAAAGTATCTTTTGAAAAACGAAAAAGTAACAAAATTTCCCCTCTTATAGGATCTCATTAAAGCCGAGATCTACATGCTTACTTTCATGTTTCTAGGTTCAATATTATAGAAAACTCAAAAGTGTCAGTTCAGGAAGAAAAAACTTAAAAAATAGTCCTTGGTACCAGAGTTACAGGCTAGACAGTTTGTTGAGGTTCCTTCGAGATCCACGTAGTGGCTTTGTTTTAAACCCAAATGCGGGGCGAGAGAATGTTGTTTTAAGGACTGATATATCCTATGCCATATATGTCTGGATTCTCCCTCCGGTGCTGTTAACATCTCAATAGATGTCACTGGGTGATGTGATAGAGCAACTTATGCTGGATTTCTGAACCCATTGAGTATCTCTTACTATTCGCGTTGTAGGGCGTCAGTATAGGTTGGGAAATTCTAAGGTTGACACTTGGTAGTTGCCTGTCATTTCGTAGATCGTTCTTTATGGTTTGAGAATTGAACTGATGTAGTTGGTGGACGATCGGGAATGTCTTCTCTACCCGACAGGGGACTAGTACTGATTTAGTAGGCCTTTTACTTCAGGGAAGTTCTCGGTGCTGTTGCCATCTCAACACTCAAATTATAATTTTTTTCTGAAATTTTTACAGGTTGTCTTAGATTTTCATCTATATCTTCGTTATTTATGGACCGATTTTGATAATTAACGATCTTCTCTTAAATATTCAACACAGATAGATGGTCAGACGGACATGGCAAAATCGACTCCGCTATCTGAAAGGACTCGAAATATTATAGAAATTACAAATGGAACGACGAAGGTGAAGGATATAAAAACAGATACCTGTAGTAAATTTTGAAAAAACTATAGGAGAAAGGAGTTTTTTTATTTATTTTTTTATTGCAATACAAAACTACCTGAGATAATAATGAATATTTTGTCTAATTTTCATTATCTTATATTGCATCGGGTTAACGAAAGCTCAGAGAGACGGAGGTACATAACTAAATAGATTTAGAATCTACACTCTATAAGAATGACGTACAGAAAATAATGCTTGAGTTACACTTGTACATAAATATATATTGTTATCAATATCTTTATTGTAAAGGAATAATACTTGTATTAAAAATAGTATTTATAAAAAACATATTAAAACACTCAAATTATTAATTAAACTTATTGCTAAATTACAACACTAATATCGAGCTCTACGCTGTTGATTTCCAAATGTTATGGCCAAAACACAGGCCGATATAAATGCAACCACCTTAAAAGAAATAAAAGGCACAAAATTAAAGCCAATAATTTCAAATTGAAATTAATGCTAGATTTACCTCTGTACAGAAACTAGACCAGGAGAAAATTGTTATCCAGTGCTCAGCGGCTTCATAGAGGACAATCAAAATCGCTAAGCAACCTTCAGAGTAAACAATTTTTGATTTGTCATAATCGCCACCGACGAAACAACTATTGGGAATTGTTAAATTGGCATTAATGTAATCGGTCGAGTTGTTTATACCACAGCATTTTAACTGAAAGTTTTAAAAAGAAATAATAACAATCTGTCTCAAAGACTCCTGTATGCAGTGACAACGATTAAAATTATCAATGGATTGGAAAAAAATGTTTCTTTTTTTGTAAACCATTGTTAACTTTAGTAATCGTTTTGTCCACTTACATTAGTCTGATATTTATACATGGCATCGTCGCCATTCAATTGCTTTGCCCAGGCTTTATTTATTTCCTTGCGAGCTTCAGTCTCACCATCAATATGCGTAATAAAGCCAAATAATATAATGGCATTTCCAATAACCAAAAGTAACAAACAGATAGCATACTATTAAGTAAACAATATTTATAACATAAATATCGCCAATCTTCTTAAACTCATTTCACACTTACCATCCATGTTAAACAAATATTTTCCCGAACGACACCACAGCAACCAAGGAACGAAATTAAGAAAACAATAGATCCAAATACTATCAAGAAAATACAAATCGTACGTCCATCTTCGTCATAGTTATCCAATGCTTTAACGCTAACCACTATGGCGCCAATACCGAGTATCTGAAATAAATATGTATAATAAAAATTTGTAAATACAATTTCAGGGTTTCAATAACAATTAAAAAAAATCTATCGATATCGCATTTTGCAATGTGAGTAAAACAAAAACAAACTCTTTATGACGCATGTTTAAAGTTCCCGTAGAATCTTATCGATTTTATTGCCGCAATTGTAAACACCGAAAAAAAGTGTGTATTTCTTTTGTTTTGAAAAATTGCTCTAAATATAAAATTCGTCAAATGTTTTTGTTTTCGCTTTCATTATGAAAACAATTGAGAAATTTTAGAATATATCATAATACTTTATCATTAGCAATTTAATTAAAGTGCATGTTATTACTGCTATATCGTAATGTTAATAATCCATATTAGGTCAAAATTTTTTTAATCCATATATAATTATCTTTCCAACGTAATATAATATTAACAACACGTCGTTTCTCAGGTCATATTTTTGAATGAAAGTTGATCCTGGAATCCTTAAAAAAAATTGAAATCGATTTACGAGACGAAACAAGTTTTCTTCAGAAGTGAGGAATAATGCGAAAATGTAGCGAAATATCGATTTTTGTCACACACAGCTTTATAAAATTTTAGGTTAAAATAACTCAAAAAAAGAACAATAATATAAATAACTTTTTCAGACTTTTAAGACACATTAGTTTAACCCACACATTTAGAAATTTATACTTTGGTCTCTGAAATAAAAATTTGTTGTCCTTTGTATTAAGCTATCTTACTCTTGTATTCATAAAGTTATTTATGATTTACTTCCATACCCTGGGTGGTTCGCTACTCTAACTTAAATTAAATACATACACCATTTTCTTTTACTTTTATAGAAAATTAAAATTGATTAAACCTTTTTTTAATGTTTCAGATTTATACGTTCAATATCACGTGATTAAATTCGCATTCAGTAAGAAGCTTGTATATTTAATTTCATTCATTTAGCTTTCACATTATAGAAAATTTCGAAAGTACTATTTGAAAAAAGTACTATAAAATACCTCTAATAGATTATCACTTAATCAAAAATTGTATGTTTCTGTGTTCAATATTATATACAATTCAAAAAATATAATTTTAATGAATGAAAAAGTACCAAAAGTAACTTTTAGTAGATTCTCTTTCACTAAGATCCCTACATTTTAAATTTTATTTTCAATATCTATGTTCAATATTGTAAAAATATCAAAAGGTACCATCGGAAAAACGAAAAAGTACAAAAATCTCTCTCAATAAATTCTCATTTAATAAGGACCGAGTGTTCCGGTTAACCACTACAAAGAATCTAAAAGGTACCATTTGAAGAATAGAAAACTACCAAATAGTTCCCACTTACAGAATATTATTCAGTCAAGACCATGTATGTTAAAATTAATGTTCCTAGGTTGAATATTTTAGAAAATTAAAAAAGTACCATTTATGAGATAAAAAGTACTAAAAAGTTCTCTCTTAAAGAATCTTATTCAATGAGGACCGTGTATGTTTAATAATCATGTGTTTTGAATTCATATTAAAGAACATACAAAGAGTATCATTTAAAGAAAGAAAAAGTACCAAAAGTGGAAAGTACTAATAAAGAATACAATTTTTCCCCTTTTCGCTTAGAAATATACTTTTTCGAGAATTAAGTTTACAAAATGTTTCGTATTTAAATCTATATATCACAGATAAAACTCAAACGATTCAAATCTGCATTCATTTGTTCCAGAAAAATTGTGCTTTCAAGAAGTACCAAACAATTTACTCGAATTTGGTCCTATATAGGACTTAGTACTCGAATTCCAAAATAATATATCAGCAGCTTATTTTGTGTGAGTAAATAAACCACTTTTTCAAATTTTATAAAAATTGGCTCAATGAGTTTGAATAAAATTAAACTTCCCGTTTTTTGGTACTTTTTTCCCCAGTGAAATAGCAAAAATTTTATTACAATAAATATTACAGAGTTAATCCATAATTTAATAGGAATAATTCAATAAACCGAAAAAGTTTTCTTTTGATTATGTTAATTAGTTCAAAAGTTATAAAGGGCCAAAAAAGGTACCAAATCACAAATTTTTACCCCTTAAAAGTACGAATTTCAAAAAAGTACCAGACACCCATCTGCTCATTTTAAAAGCAGATACAGGTGCATTTGAAATTTGTCTTGTATCACTAATATTGTGTAAGATATTTAAGAAAACTTGCTTTAATCGTTTTCCCCCTTTTACCCGCAAATGTACAAATTTCATGATTCTAGGTTCAGCCGTTTGGGCTGTGCGATGATGAATCAGTCAGTCAGTAACACTACTATTTTATATATGTATATAGATTATGCACTTTTCCAAACAAAATTTTTATAATAAATCATTAATAACTTTATGAATCATTTAAAAATGCAGTAAAAACCAGGTATTGACTTGTACTTATACAACCACTTACTTTATAATGACTACTACATACCGTGTGTATTACTTTTAATTACTCTTATAATGACTTACATATAATGAGCTACGTAAGTACTTTACTTGGAGTTTTGTAGTTATTTGCACATTTTATTTGATTTTTTAGCTTTTTAACTCATTCTTTTCAATGTAAGTTTTATAGCTGAAATTTCTGCAAAACAATTAGAAATTTTTGATATATAATAGGAAATTTCTGAAATATAATTAGAAATTTCTTACAAAAATCTTACAAAAATTGTTTAGAAATAATCGTGTTTTCCTCTACCAGGCTGGGGGGGTAATGACTACATTTTCAATTACAATTACATTTGAAGTAATTGTAATTGAAGCATTACCAATTACAATTACTTGTAATTGAAGTTTTGCCAATTACAATTACTCGTAATTGTTATTGAAGTTTTGCCAATTTCAATTACTTGTAATTGTAATTTAAGAAATTACAATTACTTGTAATTGTGAATTTTGTTCCTTATAATTACATGTCATTTGTAATTAGTAATACCTAAATTACAATTACAAGTAATTATAATTGAAAATTTCAGTTATAAATACAAGTAATTGTGATAGGCAAAACTTCAATTACAAATACAAATAATTGTAATTAGTTATTTGTCAATTACACATTACCAGTAATTGTAATTGGAAAAATTTCAATTACAAGTAATAGTAATTGGTTATTGTTCAATTACACATTACAAGTAATTGTAATTGACCTTGTAATTAATTAATTTGTGTAATTATTACCCCCCATGCCTGTCCTCTACATATAGATTTTTATGTACATACATATGGGGAATTTCGTCTCAAGTGACCCAACATTTAAAATCGATGTCTTCCGATTTGGATGAAATCGGATACACTAAGTAATCACAAAACTATTAAGGGTAATGGTATAAGCTTTCTTATGAGCCAAAAAAGACAACAAAAACGTCCATTTTGGGAAATAGGGGAAAATTAAGTGCCAAATATTGAAAAAGATTGATTCTTGAGTAAAATTTTTTTTATAAACATCCCACTCGCATCGCATTATGGCACTATAAAGCCCATAAAGAAAATTGTATAAGAATTCTTTTAAGCATTTTGAAAAAAAATTAAAAAGAAAATTTTTAGAAACAATGAAGAAATAGCTATCTGAACTCCTTTGGACAATTTTTGCATAGGACCAAAATGTCCTCTAAGTCTGGCAGTTCTTGACCGATAGAGCTGAAAATGTGTGTCTGACCTACTATCCACGAGTACTAACCATGGTGTAAATTTCGTCAAAATCAATTTTTTGAGTTGGGTCACTTGACTTGAAATTGCCCTTATACAAATGTATATATTTTTGAATTTTGTGTAATAGAAAAAAGTCACGTAACTGGGAACTTTTTCAAAACTTTAATTTTAATTTTTTTCCTATTTTTTAAGGTATTTTTTATTCTAGTATTGCAGTCGAATCGAAAAAGCAAATATCTATTTTAAGATTTTACAAAAAAGTATTAAGAATAGTTAACAAAGCTTAAGTATTTTCAAAACATGGTTTTCTGAATGAGACTTCATTTGATAGTGATTCATCATATTTAATCCAACATATTTAATAATATAATTTCTGGGTACTTAAGCAAAATTTTAAAACTATTGCTTCATTATGCAACTAGTATGAGCGTTTAAGGATAGGGTATAAATATTACAGTTCAATTTGTGAAACAAATTGAAAATATCTTACTTAATTTTCTTCCATATATGTGACAAATTTGATTAGTATTCATTTTTCCAGGAATTCTTTTAAAACTATTTTTTAATTTAAACGTTAAGAAATCGGTATATTAAATTTGTTATTTAGTTTATAACACATCGAAATATTGGTGGTAACCAGACACCAAAGGGTTTAGAATCCGGATTCTTATTAAATTCTAATACTCTCTTACAGAAGATCAGTTTAATGCCCGGTAATGGCTTGTACTTTCGTAACCACTTACTTTTCAATGACTACTAATTAACGTCTACATTACTTTTAAGTACTCTTATAATGACTTGCATATAACACCGTCCAACACCATTTTTCACACACGAACCAAACCATATACATACGAAAGCACATAATTTATATGGTATAACTGCGTACTCAGGTTTTCATTTTCTGATCGTTTGTCCTTTTTAAAGGACTTTAAAATTTGAGGTACATACAATTTTCAAAAATTTTTATAAAATATTTTTAGCCACCCTATTATAACAATATGGGTATCAAACTAAAGAGGACAATTGCAGTATTTTTATCTCGTATTTTGTTTTATTTTTTAAGAATAAAAAGATGTAAAAAATATCCTTATAAAAGTTTATCCTTCATTATCCTTGAAATTTTATACAAAATTGTTCAACAAAAAATATTCATAATAAAGACATAGAATGGAGTACAAAAGTCTGAAATTTGGTCTTCATAGCTCCATTTGTTTAATTTTTATAATATTTTTTAAATATCTCAATAAATTAATTAATAAAATTTTCCCCTCTGAAAATTTCAAAGTCCTTTTTTTGTTAAAATATTACGTAGAAAAATTAGAAATTTGATATTGTGGAACCGAGTTTCTTTATCTCTATGATAAAAAGTTAAAAAGTAAAAACTTTGAAGAATATGAAAGGATAAAAATCGAATAAGGATATTTTGCATTTTTTTATCCTTTCATGTTAAAACTACCTTCTGGGAAAGTATATTTTTCTTTTTAATTTAACACAATTATTACGAACTCTATAGTTATTCTAAATTCTATATATCTTTAAAAAATACCTTTGACCCCCCAATAATGTTATCAAAGTAGTTTATTATATAGTTTTCATTAAAAAATACAACAGGGCGAAGGTATATCATGTGCAATTAGTAAACCACGATATACATAAATATTTAAACAAGTTAGGAAAGTATAGCCGGACTGGGCCGAGCATATCATACCCTACACCAGTTGTAAATTTCTTTCAAATGTGATTTATTTTAGCAAATAAAATATTTATGTTGAATTTTATTTCAATTGCGACATATTGAAGAAAAACTAATTTTCTGAAACTGGGCTAGAGTCAAATAGAGATTAAAGGCCTACACAAGACAACAATAATGCGACAATTTGTTAAACAAATATCGTGTGCGCCATCATAAGCACACGAAATTTTTTAACAAATTGTCGCATTATTGTTGTCTTGTGCAGGCCTTTAATATGTATATTATAAAATTAAGAGGAGAGATTTATGTCTACATATGTAAACGTTTTTTATGTAGCTTTTCATCGTGATATTAATGTTTATATTAATTATATTATAATTTATATTTATAATAATATTGCGCTTATCATATTATCCTGAAGTGGATTTTAGAATTCGGAACATGCATGTTTTAATCACTAAACCGTTATAATCATACGAAAATAAAATTGTATATATTTTAAGGCCTGTTATCTCAACCACCGGTTATGTTTAATTGATAGATATTTTGTCTGAAAACTGTCAATTTAACGTTAGGATAAAAAATTAACAGACATTGAGATAATAATAAATTAAACAAAATATTCTCAACAAATTTTTTTTTAATTTGAATACATCTTAACTTTTAATTTTTTTTACAAAGAACTAATAAAGATAAAAACATGAAATTTGGGAGTCTGCAACTCCATATTTGTAAATATAACATATATTTTTTTTCTAAAAAAACTGACTATAGAAAATAAGGATATTAAAGGATTAAAATTTTAAAGGACATTTTTTTAGTTTTTTTATTCTAACATTTTAAAACTATTTTATTTGTAAAAATACTGTTATTTTTCTCTTTCAATCGATACCTATATTGACCTACTAGACCAAACCAAATTTAAGCTATATATAATTATACTTACTTTTCCTTTCAAACTTTAAAGTCCTTTTAAAGGAAGAAACGATCAGAAAATAAAAAACCAAAAATGTAGTTTAACTATATCAAGTATGTAGTTTCCAACGTATATGGTCTTGCTCATGTGTGCAACAATTTTTCCCAATTTGTTGTACGGTGTAATCAGATACGTAAGTACTATATTTTGAGTTTTGTCATTTTATTTGCACATTTTATTGATTCTCGATCTAGCAACTGTTTTTACATATACACAGAGGGGGGAAAAAGTTAACGAACGTGGTAGCTCACTATTGACAACGGATTTTGAGCTTACCACGTTTGTTAACTTTTAGACAACGGATGTGCATAAAATTTAGATTGCGACAACGAATTGTTGCAATGTTGACAACGTTGCGTGGTTGTATTGTATGTATGGATATACATACTTGACAACGGATGTTATTGAAAAATTTGGTGTCAATTTGGTACCAGGCGTGTATATTTTTTCCCTCTGTGTACAGAAAGAAAATAGTTTATCTGTGTGAAAACCATTATTGGACGCACAATAGACTAACGAACAAGAAGCCCGGGTATTCTCTGTGAGCAATTTTTTAGTTTTTAAAACAAAACATTTTTTTTAATATCTGATTTGTAAGTACTAATTTAAGTAGTTATTTGTAAGCGAGCGTGGTAAGTACTTGCCTCCAATGTCATAAACGTGTTAAAATAATGAGTTAAAATGCTAATAAAGTACTTAGTAGTAAAAAGCGGTTTTTTCATTCATTACTTTTCAATGGCTAATGCAACTACAAATAATTTTAAAAAAAATTTATGAGGAATAATGTTACAAGATTAGACCCCCTTTCAATTTTTAAAACAATTCGTTAAATTATGTGAGACACTGTTCCATACGTTTAACTTAACTTTAACTTAAAATTATAGTATTCAATTATAATTATTTCTGAATTGTATTTCTATATTGTTGACTCACAAAGAAAAGTTATTATAATTTCTTTGTTAGTTTATGAATATACTTTTATTGTAAATTTTTCACTCGAACTAAAATCTTTAGTAGTCACTATATAGTAGCTTAGTTAATTATAACGAAAATTCCATTTTTACGATTTGTTAGTTTAACTATTAAATATTATATTTTACTTTTTCCAATTATTCAGTTTTATTATCGAATATGACTCAGAATAACTGAAGCAATATTAAAAATTGATTTTTATAGCCTTCACCATTAAAATTGGTTATAGACGGTGTAAGTTGGTTATTCCGAGTGGGGTACAACCGAATTTTTTGGAAAGAAATCTGGCATTACTAAACTGCTCGGGATAAAATTTGATATGGTCATTCAAGTTTAAGTTTAGAAGATGGACTCTACAAACCCTCCTTGACCATCACTGTATATAATTTAAGATTTTATAGCAAATTTATATTTTTCGAAAAGGTATTGTTAAAATATTTCAAATATGTTGCCCGAGGATTTGAACTATTTTTTTCAAAAATTAAAATTTTACTGCTAAAATTCTAAAATTCCAAAACTGGGGTGGACCAAATTATAAAAATTGTTATAACTTCCACATAAGTTTCATTTCAGAAAATCATTTACTCGCTTATAAATCACTTTAAAATATCGATATCAAGAAGGATACCTTTTATGAATATATAAATTAAGTCACAAATTTTTCCTATTTGTTTGGATGAAGAAATTAGTCCCATTTTTTTAAATTTAAAAACTGAAAAACTTTTGAACATTTCTAAACTCGCTATAAACTTCAGCAGTAGCTGATACAGAAATCGTTATAAATAGTTTCAACATAACACCCTCAACGATGAGATTTGTATAATTCTTGTTTTGGATGCAGGGTATATTAGATTCGGCATAGCCGCAGAAAGTATTATAACTTGTTTATATATAAATATTTACATTTAATTTCAAAGATTCTCAAACTCTCTTTTTTATTTAGAATGCGATTCAATTTACAAAATGTGTTTTATTTATATTCTATATCGAAATTATAATAATAACTTTATTAAACTTACGGCGCATAATATATTGAAAATATAAACCAAATATTTAATTGTTGCTGTTGCACAACTCATTTTGAATTTATAATTATTAAATTTTTGTTAAATATTTTATTCTGTTTAAAACAATTAGAGTTCGTTGTGAACCAAATAAATGTTAATTCTTCACTAATCGCGTTAGTTTTGAATAGCTAAGTTTTTAACTTTTCCTTTAACTGTTTATTTTGAAAATGTTTAAAATATTGATTTGTATTTTTATAGTTGTTTTTGTTGTTATTCTGATAAGATATTTGTTAATATCAACTAATTGTTTTATTTTCAGTTTAAAAAGCATATAGATGAAATTAGTTACTTTCCACACTTTATTATTAACACTCTCTCTCACTCTCGAAAACAATTGGAAAACTTTAGTTTGAATACAATTTCAGATTCGAACCTACCGCACTAATTGTATTGAATAGGAAGACCGCATATTTGACAGTTGGTAAATCACATCCCATTTCAAAGAAATTGTCAAAAAAAAAGAGAAAAAACGTTGATTCTTTAGTTACAGTCACTTATTTACTAAATCATTCTGTTGCAAAACGTACGTGGTTCAGATCGTGGTTGAGCGAACGAGTGAGTAAGTGTCTGACTGAATGAGTGAGTACCTAGTACATACCTATTTCTGTATCAGTTGTTTACTGTTTTTATTTGTTTTTGTTTGCTTTTTATTCATTGTTTTGTTTTTTATTTTTCTTTCTTCGTTTTTAATTAATCTAATGTTCTCCGTGTTTGTACGTTTAAATGATAACCAAACAGTTAAAAAATATATGCAACAATTGGCAGTGGATTTAACTTTTAAACGAGCAGTTAATTTTGGGGGTTTTATCAAGATTCTGAAATTTAAAAGAATTAATTGATTGACGATTGTAAACGTTCAACGTAAATCTGAAATTTTGATTCACATTATTTCACTAACGGTATTTTAGCGGTAACTGTAGTTTAGGCTATTTAGATAAAGGAATTTTGGTAGAGTCAAAAAACTTTCAGCCGGGCTTAATTTTGCTATTCCGATCTACAGAAATACCTCCCTCGGGTGCATGTTACCTTGGTGAAATCTCCATCTTGGTGTTATTGCGATATCCCCGAGAAGAGAGATGCTTCTTCTAGTCTGCCGGGACTAAAAAATGGTGATAATCAAATATATTCTCGGCCTTTGCTTGGAATGATTTGACATGGGGTCGAACAAGAGCACCAGATAATCTGATACTACGAGTGGCCAGTTACCAGCAGGACTTTGTCCTGGCTGGTCAATTGGTTGAAATCCATGTAGAGGCTGTGGTTTAAACCTAAATATATCTGGATTCACTCTCCGGTGCTGTAGCCATCTCAACAGATGTCACTGGGTGATGTGACAAAGCAACTTATACTGGATTTCTGAACCCGTTGAGTATCTCTTACACTTCGCGTAGTAGGGCGCCAGAATAGGTTGGGAAATTTTCAGTTGCCTGTCATTTCGTAGATTGTTCTTTATGGTCTGAGAATGGAACCGATGTAAGATGGTACTGATTTAGTAGACCTTTTACTTCTGGGAAGTTCTCGGTGCTGTTGCCATCTCAACAGGATGCATCTTGTTTCATGCTACGCGACTTATGGTTGGGGCCCACCACTCAACTTGTCGGTGCAATTATTGAGTTCGGATATTCCCTCATCCTTAGTCACGCTATCTCGACATGGCTGGGTATTTCGGACTACCAAATACGTTTATAGGTGCTGTTGCCGAATCAACAGGGTCATCTCAGTAGAGGGCTGCCTGTCATTTCGCAACGGGTCTGCTATGGCAAGAGATTAGATAGTTCGAGTGCTTCAGCAAAGTGCTTGTACGGCACAGCCATGTACAAATGTACAGAAGGATTGAGGAGCGCGTGGTAGACCCTTCTCAAGTCTACCCATTGGATGAAAAAGACCACCGCACAGTGGTATAGGAAAAAAAAAAAGAGGGAAATAATTCGGTAACATCTAAACGGTTAATCCGATTTTAATGAAATTTAGTATGCACAAAGAGGAGGTGTTGTCGAGTTTAGGTTTTGAATTTGGACCTTATAGGCCAACCAGGGGCCCGGCGGGGGGTCCTCAAATTAGGACACCTCGGCTATGTTAAATTTTTAAAACGATCCTATTTCTTCATTTGAGTTCCGTATATAGAATCTCCTCATCGAGCACTATAAAAAATGTCGTCGTAGCAGTAAATTATCTCTTATAGTTTAGGAGATATTCGCATTTGAAAATTAAAATTTTAAAATTTTTACCGTCCTTACTTTAGTTTTTTTGATAATAGCGGGTCCAAATATTCCCGATTTTCGCCATTTTTTTTTATTCGCTTAACAACAAGTTTATATATCAAGCAGTGAAAGAATTATGTAAAAATCATGACTGAGTCTAAAGTTATAGGCATTTTAATTTAAAAAATTAAAAAAGGCGATTTTTTGTCATTTTTTTGGGAAAAAAGTATCTTTTTCTTTTTAAGTTATCTAAAAAGTTTCTAAGAAGATGTATATAGAATTTATACTTTTTGGAAAGCTGACTTTACATAAAATACGATAAATGAAACAAAACCTAAAAATTTTTGATACCGGGTCCATCCAAAAAAACCCTATTTTTTATGGAAAATTCAATTTTGAGCAAAAATTCTCAAATCGCATAGTCGATATCAAATTATAGTGACCTGTTTTATATGACCCAATATGTTCTTAATCATTTTGTAACGGGTTTCGATAACCCCGCCCCTGGTATGGATATAATAGGCAAAAAACCAAAAAATCCCATTTTTGGGATTTTTAAAACTTTTTTGGGAATTCCGGGATTTCTAATAAGAAAATTCGAAATTTTTATTTAATTTTGGATTTTGAGTAAAAAAATCTACCTAACTATTAAATTTCATCAAAAAATATTCATAAATAAAACTTTTATTGCAATTTGAAAAATTTGTATCTTCGCAAAAACTGAATAAAAAACATTTTTTAATTTTTTTTTTAAAAAAGTATTCCGCGAATTTTTTAATTTTCAAAAATTATATACAGTTTTGAAAAATAGACAAAATTACCTTTCCATTGATATATAACAAGCCTACCTAATGTTTTTTAAGTGACAAATTAATTAGGGAAAACTCAACATCTTTTAGAAAATTTACCTAGCACTATTATTTTCATCCATACTAAAGTAAGGACGGTAAAAATTTTAAAATTTTAATTTTCAAATGCGAATATCTCCTAAACTATAAGAGATAATTTATTGCTACGACGACATTTTTTATAGTGCTCGATGAGGAGATTCTATATATCTATATAAAAGATGTTGAGTTTTTCCTAATTAATTTGTCACTTAAAAAACATTAGGTAGGCATGTTATATATCAATGGAAAGGTAATTTTGTCTATTTTTCAAAACTGTATGTAATTTTTTGATAATAGCGGGAATATTTGGACCCGCTATTATCAAAAAAACTAAAGTAAGGACGGTAAAAATTTTAAAATTTTAATTTTCAAATGCGAATATCTTCTAAACTATAAGAGATAATTTACTGCTATTTTTTATAGTGCTCGATGAGGAGATTCTATATACGAATCGGAACTCAAATGAAGAAATAGGATCGTTTTAAAAATTTAACATAGCCGAGGTGTCCTAATTTGAGGACCCCCCGCCGGGCCCCTGGTTGGCCTATAAGGTCCAAATTCAAAACCTACTCGACAACACCTCCTCTTTGTGCATACCAAATTTCATTAAAATAGGATTAACCGTTTAGAAGTTATTGAATTATTTCCCTCTTTTTTTCCTATACCACTGTGCACCGTGAAATAAGGTCGTCAAGGCATGTGTGAACGTTAACCTCTTAATGTCTACTGACATATCACATATGTATACCCGGTATGTCCTACTCCTTGCCTATGTATAGAAAAATATGACCTAAAGACCCGCTCGAAAACTCCTTTACTTGCATCCCGGTAAAAACTGGGTAATAGCTATCAATTGTAATTACTTACCTAACAACATACTTTTCAATGACTACAACATATCGTCGGGATTACATAGGAGTAGTTTAATAATGTCTTACTAATAATGTGTTACATAAATTCTTTCTAATTCATTAGTCATCTTGCCAAAGAAGATAAAGAAGCTGTATACGTTTTTTCATCCGATTTACAATGACTACTTTTACTAATTACTTGTAATCGTTTGTGGTAAGTACTTGCGTCCAATGACATCACCGTGTTAAAATAATGACTTAAAATGCTATTGTGTAAGTAAATTTAAGCATTTTAACCCCTTACATGGTAATGAAAGTTTTCACTGATACTTTATAAACAAAATTTCTATATTAAAAAATTATCATTTGTTAAGTCAGAATTAACACACAGCTTTAGCAGTTGTTAAATCATTTTAAATTGAAAGTTTCAACTTGAAACATTTTAATAACAGTATTTTAAAGAATTAATTCTTTAAAACTTATGAATAAACTAATAAACTTTATCTCAGAATAGTAAATATGTATGTGAAAATTTATTTGAATTTATAAGGTGTAGGTATTTATCATTTCACTTCAACGTTATTTTATTTGTAAATAAAATTGTACTATTAACTAAAATTCAAGAAAAATATTTTAAATATTCTTTAACACAAGCCGAAAATAAAAGTTTACTGTATTTTATACAATTGCCAAAACAAATTTATTTTTGTGTGCGATAAATGTTTTTTGTTTTTTTTTTTTGCAAACAGAATGATCTAGTTCTTAGAGCCTTTGATATGATAAATAATGATAGTTAATGCCATGTCAGATGAGAATTTCAACATATCTATTAACAGTTTAATAATAAATAAATAAAATAATTTTTTATTGATGACTACACTTTGGAAATAATTATATGTTAATTTAGATTATTAAATGACCATAATAGGTACTTGTTGATCTAAAACTTATTTCAATGAGTCTATCTAACGTTAATCAGCGGAGTTTTTATAAGTAGATAGATATGTATTTATGTGAGTATAACAATTTGCACCAAATTCTGTTTTTCTCATCTCAAAATTAAAGTGTCTAGGTACAACTTTGAAAAATTTGTACTTAAAGTTATGTACATATACTTACCACATAAATAAACATACATATTTCTTGCTTTTGTTGAAGTTGTAAATTATACTAAATAATTAGAGAAGCAAACTATTGTTAATTATGTTTATTGATACAATTCACATCAATGATAAAGAAAATTGTGCATCTGGATACAGTGAAAGAAAATTTTATTTTAAGATGAGCTTATAAAATAATCAATAGAAAATCAATATGGAAAAAAACTATGGAATGTGTTAGAAGACTGAAATTTTTCTGAGATATTTATTTATGTAGTTCGGTATTAAGAATTAGCAAAATCGGTTCATATTTGATCCTAGCCTCCATATAATCTAGTTTAAGTTAACTTTCATAACTGGCTTAAAAATTCAAGTGGATGAAATACATTTTGACATAATCAAGTTTTTTAAAAACCAAAATTTTTCTACCAAATTTCATAAAGAATTTCAACATAAATGATTTATTATTA